GCTTGGAACTTGGGACGCTTGGAACTTGGGACGCTTGGAATTTGGGAAGCTTGGAATTTGGAACGCTTGGAACTTGGGACGCTTGGAATTTTGGACGCTTGGAATTTGGGACGCTTGGAACTTGAGACGCTTGGAATTTAGGACGCTTGGAATTTGGGACGCTTGGAACTTGGGACGCTTGGAATTTGGAACTCTTGGAACTTGGGACGCTTGGAATTTGGAATGCTTGGGATTTGTGACGCTTGGAACTTGGGACGCTTGGAATTTGGGACGCTTGGAACTTGAGACGCTTGGAATTTAGAACGCTTGGGATTTGTGACGCTTGGAACTTGGGACGCTTGGAATTTGAAACGCTTGGAACTTGGGACACTTGGAACTTGGGACGCTTGGGATTTGAGGCGCTTGGAATTTGGGACGCCTGGAACTTGGGACGCTTGGGATTTGAGGGCGCTTGGAATTTGGGACCTAGGGACTTAGACCTTGTAATTTGTGACTCTGGGTCTTGGAACCACAAGATTTGAAAGTTAGGGACTTGAGACCTCCAGTTACCAAATCCCCAAATCTTGAACTCCACAAACTTAACTCAAACCATAAATAAAAACTGATTATAAAATCATTATAACATTATTCGTTAAATCGTGTGAGAATAAGTTAAGTGTAAATTGGACGAGATCCAATTACCAGCAATTTGAACTTGACCTTTCGGTAAGATCAAGCGATCAAAGAGATCCCCGATGATGGAAGTTGAATCGAAGATTAATATTCAAGCTGGATTAACGCTTGCTAACGTTGTAGGATCGTTAAATTTTATAATCGATCGAATCGTAGGCGCGTGTGTTAGCCTGTAGCCGGTTTAACGATCCTTCGAGGCCGCAAATGAAGCAGAAAGTTAATTCTGACGATTGATCGTCGTTAGACTAGCATGCACGATCGGACAAATTAAGGCGTAACGGGTAAATGGCTCGTTAACGATGCCTCGTCACTCTTTTTCCTCTCTTCTCTGATCTTCTTCCTTCCATACGTGAAATCGGATACTTTTTATCATTAAAATCGTTCGTCCTACACGATCGATCGCTATCTTTATTCAACAATTTTCGAATCCCCTGAAACTGGTTATTAAAATATCGTACAATTTCGCATCGCGGAATTTACACTGAAACCTAGATATTTCTTGCGTTCTGGAACTTGTTATATGGACACTAGTGTGTAGAGTACTGTAACTTGTTATATGGCTACTAGTTATATAGCCACTAGTTATATGGTCACTAGTACGTAGAGTACTGTAACTTGTTATATGGGCACTAGTTATATGGGCGCTAGTATGTAGAGTACTGTAACTTGTTATATGGTCACTAGTTATATGGCCGCTAGTTATATGGTCTCTAGTACGTAGAGTACTGTAACTTATTATATGGCTACTAGTTATATAGCCACTAGTTAAATGGTCACTAATACGTAGAGTACTGTAGCTTGTTATATGAGCACTAGTTAAATGGTCACTAGTACGTAGAGTACTGTAACTTATTATATGGCTACTAGTTATATAGCCACTAGTTAAATGGTCACTAATACGTAGACTACTGTAACTTGTTATATGGCTACAAGTTATTTTGTTCTCTTGAATTAGTCTACCGTAACGGAAATCATTCCCTTCAAAATCGGTATCCTTTCTATAATTAATAGCTGATGTAATCAGAACGCCCAACACGTACAAGTTTACGGCTCCATAATATCAGCAATTACCAGTTTCTGGTATTTCTGTATCGCATCGATTACGAGCAATCGTTTTTACAATGTCGTGTCTGTTTGGGTTTCAGGAACGACAGGAAACCCTGCGGATCGCCCACGAGGGGAGAGCATCGAGATTGTCGGTGAGTCGAAACATCTGTGGCATGTTTTTCATCCAGTCATCCACGATCAATTAACGCGTTTTTAATCCACCTCTTTTTATTCCTTTCGCTCCTAACGTCGATCGCGTCCTGCCACGACTTCCTGTTTGCCTTCGATTATGCAAGAAACACCGATGCAGGAAGTTCATTCTACGACGGATTTCATGCGTTCCACCTTCGTTTCTTTATTTATCTTTCTTTCGCGTGATTTGTTCTTGACCGTTGCCTGCGAAATTGCGAACCGATTCGAATGAACGTATCCTTGCATTTATTATGAGCGGAACTTGAAAAGGATTTCCTTTATAAATTAAGGAACGCTGACTCAAGGTGCTGGAACTTCATCAAACTTTACAAAACGAAATTTGCAACATATACACGTTCTCAAACATTACACAAATAGTGTAACTCTCAGAATAGAGTGATGGGGTTTGAGATTCTGAACAACTTTTCCCTTTGCAAAAATTCGGTCTGAAGCTTCGTTTTTGAATTATTAAGGATAAACACGGACCAATCAGACCGCGAGGATTTCGCGCGCTCAGCCGCTGGGCGGAGCTGTCTCGTGTCCGCGCCCTAATTGGTCCGTGTTTTTCCTTAATAACTCAAAAACGAAGTATCAGACCGAATTTTTGCAAAGGGAAAAGTTGTTCAGAATCTCGAACCCCACCAATTCCGAAAGTTACACTACTTGTGATACACCCTGTATACCTAAACAAATTTGAAAGTAATAGTACTAACATGCTATTACCACGATAACACGAAGGTGGAATTTCAATGTTTCTCTTTCACCACCCCTAGTAGATAAACGGTTGAAACATGGTGAGACGTTTTTTTCGAATACACCGTGTGTTGCAATTTGATGAAGTCCAATTGATACGTCCGACCTGGATTCGTTAACACACCGTTACCAGCTTCGTCCTCGAAACAAATGCCAAGAAAGCCCCCATGCTCTCGATTGTCACGATCCCCACGGTAGTGGTTAAAAAGAGGACTGTATTCGAAGGTCAGGTATGACCCGGTGCAAAAACGGTCACGATATCTCTGACGCGGTGCATGAGAGAGGAACAGGTAACGAGCGATCAGATTTCTATCGGGGCAAGAGTGTGCTCGCTGTGCTGCCGTTGGTTCGGCATTTTTCTCGGCTCGATCGAACGACGAACCGTTTCGGTGGACCGTGCACAGGAGGACGACGCTCGGGCATGCATCGCCGATGAGAATATGACCCCTGCACGTACGAAGCGAAGCGTACAGGCGTCGTGGCGCGTCTGTGCCCGGGAGACGGACAGGGACACGGGATGGTGATGGTGATTCTGATGCTACGCGTCCTGGTGTGGGTGACGCCGATGGAGACGTGGTGGGAGTACCGCAAGGGTCAATCGACGGCCCCTCTTATACAGGGTGTTCGCCAACTTTCTGACAAACAGTAACGACACTTTTTGTCGGCAATTCTCCAAAATGTTCCTTTATTGATATTAACTTTCGAAGTATTTACATCAATTTTACGACATTGAACAGTTGAAGAAAAAAAGAACATGACTGCTCCACAAGGTATATTTGAGGAATACAGAACTTAACTAATTTACAGAAATAATTATTATAATTATTTCATAAGAAAATGAATTATCAGCAGACTTATAAGAAAATGAAGAACAGTCACAAGAAAATATAGATGAATATGCTACAGCGATATAACAAAGTTACAAACAAATTTACTGGTTACAGGTTTGAACTACTATTTCTCGACCGCCATACTTGTACACACTGCGCATGCGCTTCGACGTGCGCATGCGCACTTCAGCAACCTTACACTCCTGTTAACCCTTCGGTAACTCTCACCATTTTATTTAATACAATAATTTGAAACAAGCATTTTTTAATATAACACATATATAAACACAGTAAAGTAAACAATAACACAAATTATTAATAGCGAAATAACCTTAAAAGAGTCCATCTAACTTTTATATCAGTTTTAAAGTCGCTGTTTGCAAACAAATTACCTTCGGCAAAGGGTTAACTCTTTCAAGCACTATTTTGAAGAAAATAAAAGTTCCACAGAATTATTTCCTATAAATAATTGCGAAGCCTTCATTTCATGAAAACAAAAATTCCTACATCCCAAAATTTTTCGCCCCTACATCCCAAACGCTCCTGAATTCTAAAATTCATAATACATGTTCATCTAACGTGTATGTCATCCAAAAAGTGTGGGTAACTAAGAGAAGCATCGATCCGAGAGTATAATAAATTGCTCGTCGGTCTCCATAATGGTCAGAATTTGTCTGGCCGGCAGATACACTGACGGGCAGTCGGTCGTGCCTATTGCCCGGAGGTATACGCGGCGTGGAAAAGGAGGATGCGAGTGGACGGCAAGTTCGCAACTGTTCTATGTAGGACAATTTCGCGGTTCGATTTTTACGCCGATCCGTGGGAATTTATGGGCGGATACCGGGTGCCGTGGCGTGGTTATTAGGAGCGGGATCTGGGACACGAGGAAGCTGTGGATGCGTTCGAGCTACGGGACAGAGGTCAGCTTTGAAAGGGACGTCGTTACGGCTGGAATTTAAGTGGTAGCCGAGGTAAACGATGCTGGGACCTTCGTTTATGCTCCTTCTAAAATAGTATCTTCCCTACTCATCGATAAACATTTATTTTTCTTCACTCTTGCTAAAGAGTTCCTCTAGAATTTTTTCTTCGGACCTTTGATAAAAAGTTCCTCTGCCAAAAAGAAATATTGTAAATAATTGACTGTTTCAAAAATGTTAACTATCAATGTATGTAACTATTATGCTATAAATGTTATATTAAATAATGCTTTGCATCTTTAAAATTGCACTGCAACAGATTTTTCTAATAAATTGAAAAAACGGTCATCTCGACCCAATTCCGCGGTCCGCGTTTCATCAACAGGTACAGCTTCCCACGTCCATCACCGAGGATAGTTTTAATAGCCCAGCCCGAAGCGTACCGATAATGGACTGTCGAGCGATCCAGGCGGATAACTCGAGGTCGCGTAGACGATCCGTTCCCCTCATCCTCCATCGTTCCACCTCCATTTACGACATTGTGAAAAGATATCCTTATCTAATCCAGGTCGTAATGTCAGGATTGTTAACGAAGGATTACCGGTTCCTCCGTGTTCGGCCCCGTATCTTTGACCTTGGTCGAGGGTGGAACGGTTCTGGAATTGAAAAAGAATGGAGACGAAGAAGCATGAGTTGCTCGTAATTAAAGCATCGACGTTCGATGTACCGTAAGGGTCAATCCACGGTCTCGGGTATCATACTTGGAACGAACGTGGCACGCAGACTTTCAGATGGCGACCTGCCTCTACTATAAAAGGAGCGCATGTCTGGGTGTGCCTATGTGTACTCTACACAAACGTGTATTAATAAATCTATATTCTACCTTTCTACCATTCTAGATCCTTGCTGTAAGATAACACTTATTTAGGGTATGTAGGAATATTGATCGTAGACTTATTTGGAGAGTGCTGGACTGTGCAGTATTGCCACTTACTAATTTTAGAATTTATCTGTGAATGTGAGAATGTAAGGAGGTAGTGGACCTGGAAGTATAGGCATTTAGGTACAGAGGAAGTTTAGGTACACTCTGGAGGACTTAGGGATGCTCTGTCGACTCTATAGGACTTAGGGATGCTACGTCGACACTATAGGACTTAGGGATGCTCTGTGGACTCTATAGGACTTAGGGATACTACGTCGACACTATAGGATGCTACGTCGAGTATATAGGACTTAGGGATGATCTGTTGACTTTATAGGACTTAGGGATGCTACGTCGACACTATAGGACTTAGGGATGCTCTGTTAACTCCATAGGATGACACTATATGCATAGGACTTAGGGATGCTCTATGGACTCTATACAACTTAGGGATACTCTGTTGACTCTATAGAACTTAGGGATGTTCTGTAGACTCTATAGGACTTAGGGATGCTCTGTCAACTCTATATGATGGCACTATATGTATAGGACTTAGGGATGTTCTATCGACTCTATAGGACTTAGGCATGCTCTGTCGACTTCATAGAATGACACTCTAAGGACCTAGAAATTCTCTGCTAACACATGCACCACACATGCTTTCATAAAAATACTCCTCCAAAAGATTCTCCTCCATTCTACAATTCTAGAAATCACCTTATCATCCTATTATATATCCAACTTCTATTTTAAGGCTACTTCAAGTATTCTTCTACAGCCTTTGTCGAGGATAAGTTGGACCATAGAAGGTTTCGTCCGATAGCTCGTTAGGTACTTCGATTGCAAACCTTTAATTCAAAGAACGTACCGCTAGGAATCGACTTCCTCTTTCAGAAGCGAAAGCTCTCCCGTTTTAGCGAACGACTGAAAGACAGTCGGGCCGAAAGAGGCTCGGAGCCATCGAAGCGGACAAGGTTCACGCGGTTCACACGCGCGCGGAAGTGCCGGGACACTGGAGCTTTAACGACCGGAATTTGTCTGGCCAGGCAGGTACACGATACGCCGGACCAGGAAGGCAATCAGGAAGCGAAGAAAGTCGATGGAGACTAACGAGTCGTACCACGAATGGATAAATAGACACTTGTCCACCGGGACTCTTTCCTTTTCGCGCCGGCAAAGGCCAACTTCGATCATCTACCCGTTGTTAGACACATTTCGTTACGTGTTTTTTGTTAGACTTTTACTCGATGAACAAACTTTTTATATTATTTTTAGATACAGGATTTCAGGATACATTTCTGAGGCATTTTTTAAGGTGAGTTCAAATATGTAACAATGTGTGAAGGATTTATAATGTACAGAAGCAAGTAATGTTCTCATATGACATATGTTCTCACATGTCCTTATATGATAGATTTTAAGATACAAGATTTTAAGACAACCCCTCAGGGATCTTTTTAAGGTGAGACAAAAGATGATTTTTCTTGGGGAAACATTTTATCATGTTCAAATATGTAACCATGTGAAGAATTTATAAT